GACCCCTGGCAGTCTTGAAGAAGGCACTGAACAGGCACCTAAAGTCAGTACATACCTGACCAGCCGGGCTGTGGTTTGTACTTCAGTTTGTGTGACCAGCAGTAACAGCCTGGTTGATCGTGCTCTGACCCACCATGAGGGCTGGTCTCGGACCGAGCCATGGGGGCATTGACCCCCAAAACCCTCTACAGGTATACTCCAGGTAAGCTCTCCAACCAGTATGCAAACGTAATACTCATTTGTGCTAAATTGTTATCTGTTTACAATAATGTTTTACCACTGAATATATCATTGCTTAGTTAATCTTCAGTTAATTTTAAGCTGCCCATAATGCTCTGCATACAAGGGGCTTTGGCATGCTGCACTTTAATAACTGTATTCCTTTGTACTTCTCTGTATCATGTTCAAATTAATAAATAAGTAATTTATATTAAGAGCTGATTTCCTCTATTCTGTTTATTACAGTATACAGTACACTACTTTTCAAACATTTAAAAATATACTAATTATTAAATAAATGGTGCAAAGGTAACATTAAAAAAATATCTAGATGGTTGACACAAACTCACTACCAGTATAGTATGCTCCTCTCTTAACGACCAATTCACTTACCTGCTCTTAGGAATGCAACCCCATCGTTAAGGGAGAAGTGCCTGTATTACTCCTGACAGGATAGTATTCAAAGTTATGAATCATTATTACTGAACTCTGGAGACTAAAAGTTAAAATATCAATATTTGAAGACATTAATAACTGTGACTTAGGACAGAAACTTCTTACAAGAGGTGCCTTGATGCCAGTGAGGGGTTTTTGATGCAAGGAACTGGATCTTACCTGAATGGCTCCCATTCTCCCATTCTGGGTTTAGTTCTTATCCATGAATGCAGTGGTAATAAAATTTCCTTCCTCATATTGAGCTATGTTTGTGCACCTAGTGAGGTGTTTTAATGACGAAAAGTTTTGATCCAAGGAGGTGAACATATCCTTTTCTTGTATTGAACGAGAGCCTCCCATTACCCATGTGCTGTATGACCCCTTTGGACTTTAGCACTTCCCCTTATTTTAATAAAGCAGATTACCAGTGATATTAATAAAGATACTGACTTGGGAAGATAATCTATGATGTTGGGGCTTTTACAAGATGTTGAAATGTATCATCCTTTTGCTGATGGAACTATTACCTGACTAAACTCTTGCCTTGTTCCATTCCTCGAGTCACTATGACCCCAGTGGGTTTAGTGCTCCCCATCAATGTAATAATAGTGTACCAACATACTACTTATGTCTCCAGTTTAAAAAAAATAGTTGAATGTGTAGGAAGTTTTGAAGGCTGGGCAGTGGTGCACCACCCATACGGGTTTACCACTTAAAATCATTATCTTGAAGACTGGTACCTTGATGTTATTAAAGGGTTCTTAATCCAAGGAATAAGATGCTATATGACCTCCTATGGGGTTTGCATTTTCTCCTGATTAATAGAATTCAAGACAGCGCTGTATGACCCTTGTGGGTTTAGCGCTTGTTTTTTATTAGAATAATATTCCAGTTACCCCCCCTTCTTCAAGGGAGGTTCCTTGATGTGAGGGGCTCTTGATCTAAGGAATTGGGCCTATGCTTCAGTGCCTTGAATCAAGCCTGACTGTTTTCCATTTTATGAAGTGTATGACCCATGACCCCTACCAGTATATGACCCCTATCAGTGTATGACCCCGTACCAGTGTATGACCCCCTACCAGTGTATAACCCATGACCCCTACCAGTATATGACCCCATACCAGTGTATGACTCCCTACCAGTGTATGATCCATGACCCCTACCAGTGTCTGACCTATGATCCCTACCAGTGTATGACCCCCACCAGTGTATGACCCCATACCAGTGTATGACCCCATAAAGGTGTATGACCCCGTAAAAGTGTATGACCCCCTACCAGTGTATGACCCCCTATCAGTGTATGACCCCCTACCAGTGTATGACCCCCTACCAGTGTATGACCCCCTACCAGTGTATGACCCCCGTATCTGTATGACGCATGACCCCAACCAGTGTATGACTCCGCACCAGTGTATGACCCCCTACCAGTGTATGACATCCCTACCAATGTATGACCCCCTACCAGTGTATGATCCCATATCAGTGTATGACCCATGACCCCTACCAGTGACATTGCCGGGGTCTTGGTAGAGGGGCTTTACAGGGCTCTATGACCCCTACCAGGAACATAGTTAGGATTTTGGTAGAGGGCCTTTACAGGGGTCTATGACCCCTACCAGAGACATAGCTGGGATCTTGGTAGAGGGGCTTCACAGGGGTCTATGACCCCTACCAGTGACATAGCCGCGTTCTTAGTAGAGGGGCTTCACAGGGGTCTATGACCTCTACCAGGGACATAGCTGGGATCTTGGTAGAGGGGCTTTACAGGGGTCTATGACCTCGTATCAGTGACATAGCCGGGATCTTGGTAGGGGGCTTCACAGGGGTGCTTGACCCTACCAGATGCACAGCTGGGATCCTGGTAGGATAGAGGGCTCTACCAAAGGTGTACGGAGGTGACAGCTGGGATCCTGGTAGGATAGAGGGCTCTACCAAGGGTGTATACAGGCGATGTAGCTGGGATCCTGGCAGGATAGAGGGCTCTACCAAGGGTGTACACAGGTGATATAGCTGGGATCCTGGTAGGATAGAGGGCTCTACTGAGGGTGTACACAGATGACATAGCTGGGATCCTGGTAGGATAGAGGGCTCTACCAAGGGTGTACACAGATGACATAGCTGGGATCCTGGTAGGATAGAGGGCTCTACTGAGGGTGTACACAAGTGACATAGCTGGGATCCTGGTAGGAGAGAGGACTCTAATAAGGCTGTAAACTGGTAACATAGTTGGGATCCTAGTAGGATACAGGGCTCTTCTGAGGGTGTACACAAGCTCCTGAGAGAAAGGTTTTACAGACTAGAGGCCTCCATAGGTTAACCTGAACTAATCCCTGACTTGGGTTTTCTTAGAGGGCTGATAGGAATTACGCAGCTCTGTATGACCCTAGTAGGTTTAGCACTTGATTTTGTTATAATAATAATACTGGTAAGAATTACGTCTGCAAGCATTATCATGAAACTGCTTGTGATTGACCTTAATACCAGCAGGGATAGGTATATTTAGCCCTGTTTCTGTTTGCTCAAAACTTTCCATGGTAACCTATTTATTATTATTTCAATTAAAAGACAACAAGGGTCATACAGCGCTGTCTGGAAGCCCAAGCTGCTTATCTAAACTGTTTTATCTGTACCTATCTTATTGAGTCTCCTCCATGAATGTAATACTGACCCATAGGCTAGCAGAAACACCTCTCAATAGACCTATTTCTACTGGCTTAACTCCCTATAGTACTGACCCATAGGTTAGCAGGAACACCTATAAATAGGCCTATCCCTACTGGCTTAACTCTCTCCATAATACTGACCCATAAGCTATCAGAAACACCCCTAAATAGACCTTTTCCTAATGGCTTAAATTTCCCACATGAATTTAACTCTGACCCATAAGCTAACAGAAACAGCCCTAAATAGGTTTATTCCCACCGGATTAACTCTCCTCATGAATATAATACTGTATATGATGAAAAATGAGTACGACTCATAGGCCAATTTATTATTACTATAACCCGTACGGGCTTAGCACTTCCTTGAATGTTAAAATAATCTGCCCTTCATGTAGAGTACTAGTGGTACAACAATTTGCGCTTTATGTAGAGTACTAGTGGTACAATAATCTTCCCTTTATGTAGAGTATTAGTGGTAAAATAATCTTCCTTTCATGTAGAATACTAATGGTAAAATCTACCCTTTATGTAGAGTGCTTGTGGTAAAATAATCTACCTTTCATGTAGAGTACTAGTGGTACAATAGTCTTCCCTTCATGTAGAGTACTAATGGTACAATAATCTACCCTTCATGTAGAGTACTTGTGGTAAAACAGTCTGGCTTTCATGTAGAGTACTAGTGGTACAATAGTCTTCCCTTCATGTAGAGTACTAATGGTACAATAATCTACCCTTCATGTAGAGTACTTGTGGTAAAACAGTCTGGCTTTCATGTAGAGTACTAGTGGTACAATAGTCTTCCCTTCATGTAGAGTACTAATGGTACAATAATCTACCCTTCATGTAGAGTACTTGTGGTAAAACAGTCTGGCTTTCATGTAGAGTACTAGTGGTACAATAGTCTTCCCTTCATGTAGAGTACTAATGGTACAATAATCTACCCTTCATGTAGAGTACTTGTGGTAAACAGTCTGCCTTTCATGTAGAGTACTAGTGGTACAATAAGTCTTCCCTTCATGTAGAGTACTAATGGTACAATAATCTACCCTTCATGTAAGTACTGTGGTAAAACGTTGGCTTTCATGTAGAGTACTAGTGGTACAATAGTCTTCCCTTCATGAGAGTACTAATGGTACAATGAATCTACCCTTCATGTAGAGTACTTTGGTAAAACAGTCTGGCTTTCATGTAAAGTACTAGTGGTACAATAATCTGGCCTTAATATAGAGTACTAATGGTACAATAATCTGCCCTTCATGTAGAGTACTAGTGGTACAATAACCTGCCCTTCATATAGAATACTAGTGGTACAATAATCTGCCCTTCATGAGGAGTCAAGTGTACAATAGTACCACTAGTACTCTGGTGTAAGATGTTGGCCTGTGAGAGGTTCCTTGAAGGTGGTGGTAAGGGACTCCTGATCAAAGGAATGTGATCTATACCACCTGGGAGTGAACTTGTCCTCCCAGGCGGTGCATGACCCCCACGGGTTGGGCGCTTCACCATGAGTAATACTGATAGAGATGGTGTAGTAGTGCCATCTAGTGGAGGTAGTGGTGGTGTAGTAGTGCCAGCTAGTGGTGGTAGTCAAAGTTAGTCAGGTTATCAGTGATAGTGTTACAGTGAAGTTCAGGACAGTGACTAACCTCATGGTCACTAAAGGTCAGTTAACCTTCCATGGTCGTACAAGAGAGACGTGTTGCTCCCCTTCCTGGCCCCCTCCGGCTTTACCGCTTCCTCAGCCTCTTAATACACCTAAATAATGTAAATATTGTCTATTGACGTTTTTTTAAGTACAACAGCAAAGTTAACCTGCAGCTCCTGGTCCCCGCCACCAGTTTGGTCACTAAATTATTTAAGTTTTAATTTTCTTTGGGGTCTTGAAGGGAGGGTGAGGGAGGGAGGTGATTGAATTTAGTGAAGGGGTTTTGATGCGAGGAACTGGAGCTCCTCCCCTTCCTCTGATCAAACAATAACTCTCGCACTAGGCGTTACGTAACCCATAAAGGTGTATGCAGTTCTGGGCTATTTTTTTCCGTTTTTGAAAAAAAACTTAGGGAAGGTCTCTTGATCCAAGTAACTTGTGCCATGTGATCCAGATAGATTTCCATGTAAACAAATTGTTAGTCATCATGTTAATATGTAAGAAATATTGATTAAAGAAAATAAAGATAGTTTTACTATGTTAAACATTAATGGTTATCAGACAGGCAGTAATTACCTGGAGAGAGTTCCGGGGGTCAACGCCCCCGCGGCCCGGTCTGTGACCAGGCGGCCTGGTGGACCAGAGCCTAATCAACCAGGCTGTTGCTGCTGGCTGCACGCAAACCAACGTACGAGCCACAGCCCGGCTGGTCAGGAACTGACTTTAGGTGCTTGTCCAGTGCCAGCTTGAAGACTGCCAGGGGTCTGTTGGTAATCCCCCTTATGTATGCTGGGAGGCAGTTGAACAGTCTCGGGCCCCTGACACTTATTGTATGGTCTCTTAACGTGCTAGTGACACCCCTGCTTTTCATTGGGGGGATGTTGCATCGTCTGCCAAGTCTTTGCTTTCGTAGTGAGAGATTTTCGTGTGCAAGTTCGGTACTAGTCCCTCTAGGATTTTCCAGGTGTATATAATCATGTATCTCTCCCGCCTGCGTTCCAGGGAATACAGTTTTAGGAACCTCAAGCGCTCCCAGTAATTGAGGTGTTTTATCTCCGTTATGCGCGCCGTGAAGGTTCTCTGTACATTTTCTAGGTCAGCAATTTCACCTGCCTTGAAAGGTGCTGTTAGAGTGCAGCAATATTCCAGCCTAGATAGAACAAGTGACCTGACGAGTGTCATCATGGGCTTGGCCTCCCTAGTTTTGGAGGTGGGAGTCCCGGTATCATAGGTTATGTTGATGACACAACTGTCCTAGTGAGTGGGAGGGAGGGCTTGGAGGGTCTGAAGAGAGTTATAGATGTTTTTGGGATGGCAACAGGTATGGCTGTGAATGTGCATAAATCAAAACTCATGAGATTGGGTGATTGGGATGGGCGGGAGGGCGGGGGTGGGGGGATGAGGTGGTGTGTCGTGGACCGGGTGAAAATTTGTGGAGTTGTGTATATGGGTAATGCTCAGATGGCGAGGGAGAATAATTCAAAGGGTGTGGTAGTTAGGGTATTGGGAAGATTGTCAGGATTACGGCCGACACATCTTACGCTACACCAGAGGGTCATTGTGGTCAATGTGCTTTTGTACAGCAAAATATGGCATGTAGCAGCTTTGTACCCTTTGGTGTATGGGGATGTCCGGAGATTGTTGAGCAGAGTTTTCCGTTTTATCTGGGGTTCGGGATGTGATTGGTTGAAAAGAGAGGTGGTAACACTTCCGGTGGCCTTGGGAGGGCTGGGGTTAATTCATTTGGAAAGAAGGTTGAAGTGTGTATATGTGAAACATGGGTTGCTAAGGGCTCGGGGGGAGGGGAGTGGAGGGTTGGGGATGCTGCAGGGAGATCTTGGGAGATGGTGGAAGGGACAGGATTTGAGAGATGGTGAGGAGTTGTTGTGTCTATTGATGATGGTCAGAGATCCGAGAAACATGCGGGTAGGGTTCATGGAGAGGAAGTTATGGCCTAGGGTGGCAGTGGCAACGGAAGGAGTGTACCCGATGTACGCATGGGAAGACATTTGGGGTCGATTAAAAGGGTTACGCATCCGGCCACGCGTGAGGGAGGTAATGTATAGGTTTCTTCATGGAATATTGCCGTCTGGGGTTTTACGAAATAGGCGAATAAGGGAGGGTGGGGAGTGTCAGGTTTGTTGGGTAGATGAATCAGCTTTTCATGTAGTTTATTTTTGTGAAAGCCTAGGGGTTGTGCGGGAATGGTTAGGAAAAGTAATCCGGTATGTGGGGGGGGGAAAAGGTTAGTTAGTTAGTTTAATATGTTTATTATGCACCCCATACCCATCCTGTGGGCGGTAGTCAAAAGATTACAGAGGTACATAATTGGTCCAGGGACTGGACTCCAAAGTTTTGATAGCTGAGCAAGTTACAGAGGTAATGAACTCACAATTTACAAAGGTAATGAACTCACAATTTACAAAGGTAATGAACTCACAATTTACAAAGGTAATGAACTCACAATTTACAAAGGTAATGAACTCCAGGTAAGTCTGGTCACAATCATGACAAGTTACAAAGGTATTTACAGATTACAGAGGTACGTAATGGGTCCAGGGACTGGGCCCCCAAAGTTTTGATAGCTGAACTAGGTACAAAGGTAATGAGCTCACAAGTTACAAAGGTAATGAATTCTGTAGAATGGTTACTTACGTTTATACTTTGGCTACAATCATGAACAAATTATAGAGTAATGAGCAATTCACACTTCCATACGCGGTCACAACTGTAATGAGTTATTGGTGCAAATATTGATTGTTAGACAGACAGACAGACAACACACACACACACACACACACACACACACACACACACACACACACACACACACACACACACACACACACACACACACACACACACAACACACACACACACACACACACACACACACACACACACACACACACACACACACACACACACCACACACACACACACACACACACACACACACACACACACACACACACACACACACACACACACACACACACACACACACACACACACACACACTCACTCACTCACTTTAGTTTAATATCTTTATGCACCCCATACCCATCCTGTGGGCGGTAGTCAAAAGATTACAAAGGTACATAATGGGTCCAGTGACTGGACCCCAAAGTTATGATAGCTGAACTAGTTACAAAGGTAAGGGTTGTCGGTTTTGAGAGCGCTCAGTTTAGATGTAGGGGTAAAGGTTCAAAGGGCAGTGGCTTACTTAGTGGTTAATTTCGTGTATATATATCATGGGCAATGAGAGACAAAGGGGCGGAGGAACGTAGGATGGCCATAGCAGCATCCTTTTATAGAACAAAGTGTCGCAACAGGGAAATATATGGTAGGAGGTGGGAGAGGGATTTCTCGGAGGGCTACAGGGACTTTCTTTTGAGGGATTAATGGTCTTTATAAGCGGTCAGGGGCATGAACGGGCTGGCCTTCCCATGGGGGGGGGTGTTGCAGAGGTCGATTGTGTGAGTGTGTGGAATTGTGTGAGGAAAGGATGTTGAGGTGATATTCAATGTGATATTCAATGTAATGTCTTGGTGTTATTGTGAACACCGATGATTATAATTTATCTAAGGATTCCTTCATGTTTTGTAAGGATGTACATAAGCATGTTAGTATATAAGCATATTTTAACCTGTAATTATACATGTCTACCTATATATGAGCAATGTAACTTGTCATAATAATGAGGCATTCATACCTGTTTTTTAACTAGTGGAACGTTTTGGTATTGTATATAATGTAAGATCTTGCCTGGGGTGTTCTTGCTTATATATTGTGACAGATGTTTTTTCACATTTTCATTATATATGTTCAAGTGAATGAGTTTTTGATCTTGTGTATAGCCAGGTGAAACTGGTCAGTTTTCATTTTGGTAGGAGTGTAAGTAATCTCTGCAATAGCAGGTCATGCGAAACACATGTCATATTATTTTAGATGTCTAATGTTGTCCATTCTCTGTAGGATGTGATGTATAGATTATCTCCGGCAGTGTAAATAATCTGTCTGCAGGAGTTTACCTGGAGAGAGTTCCGGGGGTCAACGCCCCCGCGGCCCGGTCTGTGACCAGGCCTCCTGGTGGATCAGAGCCTGATCAACCAGGCTGTTGCTGCTGGCTGCACTGCACTGCACTGCAATGTGTAAATTTATTTATTATTGTGGTAGGTTTATGTATATAGCGTGTTTTTTTAGGGTGATATATATTATAAGACGCTAATTACCATCAGTGACTGTTTATTGATTATTACCATAGGGTATATGAGGGTTAGTGTGGGTTGTGTTGTATGGTGGATGTGAGCCGTCATGTTAAGACATTCCTTGTATTATAGTGTCAGCCGTTTAGCTGGCTGGATTGTGTTTATATATTTTGTCATTGAAGTTTTTAATGCTTTATAAATGTATAAGTATAAGAGATTTGTCACTGTATGCTAAGGTGAAAGTGGCACGTTTTCATGGGGGAAGAGTGTAAGCATTACTGGGTAGGTTCTATCGTTTTTTATATGACCATCTTTTCATGTGAAGCACAGTACGTACAAGCGGTGTTTGATTTGAGTGCAGCAGCCAGTTCTGTCATTATATATGTGCTTCTTCAGTATTTATGTAATTACAGTTGATTATTGTTCACTGCCTGTATCTTGTTACATATTGATTATGTACCCATATATTTTTGTACCCGAGTTTTAAATAAAATATAAAAGAAAAATTCTAATGAACAGTGTCCATGGACTCGTTGAAAACACTCCTGGATGTTGGGCTTGCGTATTTGACATCTCTTGTGGGTTTAGTGCTTAATTTTTATATGGTGTGACCTGATAGATGGCATGAGCTGCCTTTAGTGCCTCATGCAGGATGATATAGTTTAACAAAGGAAATACAAAGACCGCAATGGAAATGAGTCACTGACTTTTTTTTTTTTGTGGGGGTTATCCTAGGTAATCGACACATGCTGCTATGCATGATAATTTATGTATACCTGAATGAACTTATTCACCAGTCTTAATTCTTAGTAAGCAAGTATATTTAGGTACAGGTACGCATTATCATACATAGCCTGGAGTGTTTACCTAGAGAGAGTTCCGGGGGTCAACGCCCCTGCGGCTCGGTCTGTGACCAGGCCTCATGGTGGATCAGGGCCTGATCAACCAGGCTGTTACTGCTGGCTGCACGCAATCCAACGTACGAGCCACAGCCCGGCTGGTCAGGTACCGACTTTAGGTGCTTGTCCAGTGCCAGCTTGAAGACAGCCAGGGGTCTATTGGTAATCCCCCTTATGTATGCTGGGAGGCAATTGAACAGTCTTGGGCCCCTGACGCTTATTGTTTTCTCTTAATGTGCTAGTGACACCCCGGCTTTTCATTGGGGGGATGTTGCATCGTCTGCCGAGTGTAAATTACCTAGGATAACCCAAAGTTGAAGTGCCTTAGTTCAGTTTTAATTATCCCGAAATGCATTGCATACCAGTGGCTCCCTTTTGTGCCTACCAGTGTCTTATTACATGTAAACTATATTGCTTTCCTAGAGTATGAAGATAAATGTAAATATCTGAATGTGAATTTGACCTGTTAGTTTAATATCTTCATTGCCATCCTAACATACCTAGTGGGAGAGTTCATACCAGGTAAACTCCAGGTAAACTCCACTATCCGTCGTGGCAATTAAATCCAAGAAAATGTTGGGTAAATAGACACAAACGACACTAATGTGACATATTGTGGCACAAATCTTCTACGACCAATCACCTAAACCAATAATAACCCAACAAAATGCTGCTGTGTGTTGATCAGTTCCTGCACCTGATATGAAATCCAAGTTCAGGGGGATGGGAGGGGGGTAGTAAACTCTAGTTACATCACTACTGCATGACCACTAACTAATGTTTAGCAATGAGAACATTTAAGGGCCATAAACCGAACAGGAGAATACTTCTCAACTTTATTAATGATAAAATTTATAATTGTAGCAATATTGAGGAAAGATACTCACATACCACTTTGAGTATAGGCAACAGATCCTACATTTATTCATCTTCAACAATGCAATAGAAAAAAAAATTAAAAAATAAAGAAAAACATTGCAATATCAGGAACGCTAGTTCCGATTTGACCTTGAGTACAGGTAACATTTCAGTGATTGTGATCTTACATTTCCTGGCTTTCAATCCTGCACGCGCTCGTGTGGGTGTATGACCCACTTAATATTTGTATTTATAAATCATTACAATTGTGACCAGGTGTGGACGTATCAGTGGCTCATTACTTTGTAATTTGTTCATGACTGTAACCATGTATAGGAGTGAGGCTGATTCATTACCTTTGTAACTTGCCATGATTGTGATCATATCTACGTGGAGTTCATTACCTTTGTAACTAGTTCAGCTATCATAACTTTGGGGTTCAGTCCCTGGACCCATTATGTACCTTTGTAATCTTTTGACTACCGCCCACAGGATGGGTATGGGGTGCATAATAAAGATATTAAACTAACTAAACTCAATCCTGCAAAATCATCTATCACGTCAAAATCAATGATTTTCCCTATCTAGACCTATTTATACTCTGTAATCATATAGTCTATAGAGAAACGAAGGATTTTCTCTTGCATTGCTGCAGCACTGTTTTGGTCATTAGTGTCACCTTTAGAGGCTCTATGGCAGTGGTTCCCAAACTGGGGGTAAATTACCCCCTGGGGGTAATTTAACCATTTTTTGGGGGTAATGGAGGGGTGACAGAAAAAAAGTTATGAATTCTGAAAATCAAGAAAACAATGCGGTACCCGGTATGAGGATTATTGTTAACTTTGTCTTAGTATATAAAGTTGTAAAGTAAACCTATTATAAGTAAGTAATAAAGTTAAACCAAATAACAATAAACATCAAAAACTAATATACAGTATTAGAAAAGAAGAAATATATAGCTAAGTGTGTGTGGAAACCCAAAAGTATTTTGACAAGTATGCTTCAGGACAAAAGTCACTCAGTAGCCCAGATCGACCTGTCCAGTATGCGTCACTCACTTCCTGAGGCTGCCTCTATTTCACACTGTCAGTTTATCTGTGAGCATCAGCCGAGGTAGACATAAGCTGGTATGAAGCCAAGAATTCCTAAACTAGCTTCAAGTATGCAACTCCATCCATCCCACTGATGTTCTTGACATCTTTGGTAATAGTCATTAGAGATGCACAATGTTCAAATACAATAAATAAAAGAAAATATCTCAAGTGTTTTAATTTAGCCATATATATCAATAATAACAACATTTTGTGAAAGGGGTAACATGCTTTATGTGGCATGTTAAATTGGGTAACAAGCTGAAAAAGTTTGGGAACCACTGCTCTATGGTGTCACCCCGGGTGCCACCCCCCCCCTTTTACGACGCCACTGGCTGGTGTCACATATGGTCTGTATAAGTTGTATCACGTACTTCTAGAAATAGATTTATTATTATTTAACAAACATAGGGAAATAGCAGCAGCAGCAGCAGCAGCAGGAACATGTAACAATATTTCAAAATATTTGGTAATGTGGCTACTCATTACTTGACACAAATCATTATGATGGAAAATGGAGGCGATAGTTACCATCTGTGATGTTTAACTTAACATTCTGTTAGTTGTAATTTCCACGGCGTGCCCTTCACAACACTAAAGTCTAAGGCGCATTTATATTGCATACTTGAGGCAGACATATCGGCTGAGAAGTGATCACCCCAACCTGCACTACCACACTGCTACATACAATTATCATACATAGTGTAAATTACCCACCATAACCCAAAAAATCAGTGACTTGTTTAATAAATTTATTCAGGTATACACAAATAGTTACATAGATTATCATACATAGCAGCATACGTGTAGAGAACCTAGGATAACCCAAGAAAGTCAGTGACTTATTTCCATCGGGGTCCTTTTAATACCTTGTTATAATATAAAGGAGATGTGCTAAGAATAAGGTAAAATGAGTTATTTATATTTACATGTGTGTTAGCTAAAAAAAAATTCAACCTTTGTCACTACGCTCATTAGGTACCTTTTGACTTCTTGAACTGGTTCATGCTATGACTGGCTTCCTCTTCAAGGGGGGCTCCTTGGCGTGGTGAAGAGGCTCTTGGTCTGAGGAATTAGACCTGTCGGTCTCCTTCCTCAGACCGAACCTAATTACCCCCCAATCCCCCATTCCCTATCCCATCTTCCCCATCCTCCCCTTTTTCTTTTCCTCCTCCTCCTCCCCACCCCTCCCTTTTGCCCTTCCTTTTTGGCCTTTGGGATTTTTTTTTCCCACAGGCACGCTAGTTCCTAGGTTGAGGAAAGGGTACCGGGGTCCATCCCATTCCGTTGAGGTTCTTCGCGGTGGCATAGTTTGCTGTGGAATCTGGATCGCCTGGGGATGTCCTGATCCCTCTCCGGTATCCCGGAGGTTGGCTTTTGGGTGTGTCTCGGGCGACGGGTGTGTCTCTGGAAGCCACTTTTCGGATTCCGGGGGTGGTGGTCGAAGGAGGTATGCTTTGTGGCAGATTTCCGGCCGCCCTCTCTTTTGTCCATCGAGGTAGCTCGGCAGATGTGAGGTTGCTATCCTGGATTGCCGGTTTACTGGCATGATGGGTAGGGTATGGCACGGGTTCCATGCTGCATCTGCGCTACTTGCGGTGCTGAGGTCCTCTTGGGCACGGAGGGAGATTTCTGGCCCTTTCATTCCTCCTAGGAACTATCCCTCCCCGATCCCCCCCTTTTTTTATTCTTTTTTATTTTTATTTTTATTTTTTTTTCTTAAAAACAAAAAGAAAGAAGTAACCTAACCATGGCAGCCCTAGTCCATGAACCTGCTACCCCCAGGCCCCTTCTTGATACCGCACCCCATTCTGACCCCGCCTCATCTTTGGACCACTCTTCGGACACTCCTCATGCCTCTGTACCTCTTGCCGGTGCTGTTTCCTCACCCGCTTCAGGTACTGAGGCCTCGACTGACTCCTTCGATTTATCTGACCTTCGCTCTCCTCTGACTATGCTTCCGGCCTCTCCCTCTACGGTGCGGCAATTTTTGAATCGCCGGCCCGTTCCATGTCGGACCAATTCTGGTCCCACGCCTAAATGCCAACGACAATTACCTGCTGATGATACTTCTCCACCTTCTCATTCTTCTCAGAAAAGATCGACACTTCCTTCA